TTACGTGTGTCAAAATATGAACAAAAAAGGACATTCGAGGAAGCGCTAATATCTTAAATCAGGCAAGTAAAAAGTTGTTACGAACGGTGATTCAGCAGAAACGGTTCGATTTATATTTCATAAACAACACCATAGACAATTTGTCCAGTGAACTAAAGACAGTTTTAACGACATTTGATTTTAATAATTGCATCGAAACTTTAAACAAACGAGAAACATCAAAATACAATGAATGCAAAAATAAACAAATAGAAAGATACCAAAAATTAAAGATCAAATCAAATGCCAACCATCTAAGTCAACGTCAGAACGAAACACAACCGTTGACCACAGACGTAAACAACAAACAACGCACGGTCTATAATCTGTCAAAACATACACTGGACTAACCGACAATAAAGGTATTAGCGAAGGGAATGAACTTCGCATTATCACCGCGAAAAATCCCGTACGAAGAAATTATCTGCAGTGTTGAGGACTGTCTGTTTAAGAATAATATCGGTAAGGAAGATTTGGAGGCTATACGTCAAGATATTTCGTCCTTGTTACGTCGTAGTGCAGTGCCGAAACCAAACCTTCCTAAAGACGAATTTACAGCGTTGATTAATTTACGGAACAGACCAGAGCTAACGATTCTCCGCGCGGATAAAGGAAACGCTACGGTAATAATGGACACGTCAGAGTATAGTTTTAAAATACTACAGCTTTTATCGGACGAAAGTACATATAAAAAGGTCAAAACAGACCCCACAACTAACACGCTTAAAGCAACTAGCGATTTAATAAAGAAATACTCCGAAAAATTAAATCTCGACGTGAATTGGCTAATACCATCATGTACCAAACCACCAAGGTTGTATGGGTTACCGAAGATACACAAACCAAACGCTCCACTACGTCCTGTAGTGAGCCAGATCGATTCACCAACTTATAAGCTGGCACAACACTTGGCAAAAATACTGTCACCACTGAGAGGACATACCAGAGCACACACAAAGGATTCATACCATTTTGTTAGTGAGATAAAAGACCTACATCTCGCTGACAATGAAACTATGGTCAGTTTTGATGTTCAGTCACTATTCACATGCCTGCCTATTGAAGACTGCATCTCAATTGTAACTAGGAAGCTAGAAGATAACAACATGCCTGCTGAATATGCAGTATTACTCAAACATTGCCTCACATCTGGCTATCTATTGTGGAAGGAAGAGTTCTACAAGCAAGTAGATGGTGTGGCGATGGGCTCACCTGTATCTCCCATAGTCGCCGACATATTTATGGAGGACTTCGAAGAGAAAGCCCTTCTTACTGCTCCTGTAAATCCAAAATTCTACAAGCGGTACGTAGAAGACACCTTCACAATTTTACCATCTGACAAAGTAACTACATTTTAAACCACCTTAACTCTATAAATTCTAAAATACAATTCACAATGGAGTTAGAGGCAAATAATTCTTTAGCTTTCCTAGATGTTGCTGTACTACACATTTAGCACTTGCACATTAGGAGTAACCTTAACCGACGAGCGTGTGTGCGCAGATATATGGATGTAAATGAGGCGAGTCAAAGTGTCAAATGGATGTCCGTAGTCTCTGCCTACCCCACTGGGTGACAGGCGTGAGTGTCTATATATGTTTTATGTAATTATACATAATTTGAAAAAAATATGCATCGATTATCAATATGAACAGTAATAAGTTATTTAAATGCAAAAAAATGATAATTTTCATTCAAAAACCCAATTATGTTAACAGTGACTATAAGGAACTATATTAAAAGAAAGGAAAATGGATTTAAAAAAATATACATACTTGAATTTGTTCTTGTGCGCCGTCTACAGTGACTGGGAATGTCTGAAAGAAAACTCCGATCGTCTGACGTAACATATCCTCTTCCGCTAAAACAAATTATATCATCCTGCATATTTGCTCTATATGTAAAAATTATAAACAAATTAAATAAAAACTAAATTTACGGATTTTATCGCGTTTATTTGACTACTTTTACTTATTTTTAATTCCCGACGTTTCGGGTGCTTTACAGCAACCATGGTCACGGGGGGGGACTGAGATGTTTGACGTCCCAATGTCATAGTTAGTCCGGCTACCTTCAGTTTTTGAATATTAATTTTTGGTCCGATTTATATAAGCTCGTTTTGCGTAAATCGGACCAAAAATTAATATTCAAAAAACTGAAGGTAGCCGGACTAACTATGACATTGGGACGTCAAACATCTCAGTCCCCCCCCCGTGACCATGGTTGCTGTAAAGCACCCGAAACGTCGGGAATTAAAAAATAAGTAAAAGTAGTGAAATAAACGCGATAAAATCCGTAAATTTAGTTTTTATTCAATGTGTAGTGTTCGCGTAAATTTAAGAAATCATTAATTATAAACAAACTTTGATCCAAGTTTGAAAATAAATGTCATAGACATTCTATGAAATTTGGTTACATCATCTATTCGTCCATACTGTCTGAAGAACTTTTGATAATAATTATATTTATACTATGGTATATTTGGACTGCGTTATGTAAGAACGCATTAGGCTACGAAATGGATTTTTTTTTTAAATACGTTCGACTATATATGATAAATTATGTATTCAGCTATTTTTGTGTCTTAAAACCACTTTTCCGGCCTTAAAATAAAGGGTTGAATCAAGCGACATTTCGAACTTTGTTAGAATTTGTGCACACATTCGTTTTATATCATATTTAATTCGTTAATAATCGTTAATCGTCATCTCCACACGCGCAATCTTTCATCCCTTCAAGAATAAAGCGCCAGCGTTCGTTTTAATTTTATTGCATCCTTATTTTTGCGGGTTTTTGGGTACGCGACGGGGGGAAAGGCAAAAGATATCAGGAAACCCTCGTAAGATGCCTCGGGATGTTGAACTAAATATTATCGAACACATTGATAAATTACCAAAATATAAGTCCCAATACAGTAGAGCGCAAAAAGACAGAATGTATTTACCACCGGATATGACTGAGTCTATGATGAATCAAGAAAGACAGTTTCATTTGCATCGTATAAAATAATGTTTTATACCAAATTTAATCTACAAAGGAAAAAGCCACAGAAAGACACGTGTAATACGTGCGACCTATTAGCAGTAAAAATCAGAGATACTACTTCAAAGGAAACCAAATAAAAAACTGAAGACGCACGTGCATGAAATAGCAAGACAACTTTGGCTAAGACTTATGATCATATTGAAACTCGTGACTTTTGATATGGAAAAAACACTGCCACTACTAAGAGTTCCAACCAACATCATTTTTAGGAACATCAACTGTGGCTATACAACTGCGGTGTGCGTTCAGGAAAAACCGGTAAAGGATTTTGTTACGTCCGGGTGGAAAGAATAGCAGGCAGGGGAGCACAAGCAGTAGGCTCCACTTTACGCAAACATATATCTTTAAATCAAGACTAAAAAATCTAAGCACTCATATTGTGGTTAAACTCCTGTGGTGGCCAGGACTGAAATATTAAGTTGACTCTGATACTATTTGCAGTACTAGAAGAAAAGAATAACCTAGCCCCATGGCTCTGACGGCGCGCGACATGTTATACTCCCGTTCGCTCGGGACCTTAATGGCGGGAAAATTTGTAAGTTAGAAAATTTTTTTGCTATATTGCAAATTTTGCTATATTTTCACTTTGAGACAATATTTATGGATAAAACTTACAGGATTTCTTGTTGAATGTATAAACTATTGAATAAAATTATTTTTGGTTGCTAGAAATTGTAATAAAATACATAAATTACCCTGTATAGCATAGTAGTAGCATATACTTCAATTTTAGTGACAAAATTACTACTAATTTGAATTCTACACTTTTGTTTTTGGAGAAATTTATATGAAAATGTTTGGAAATATGTGTACTTTTATGTTTTATATGTTTCCATTCGTTACTCATACCAAAAATATTAAAATATTAAAAAATTAAAAAAAAAACAATAATAATATTTTATCTGTGTGACATTTAGAACAATATTTCAAAAATAATTATGTGTGAATTTGAAATAAATACAACGTCAAGTTATTTGAAATATGTAAGAAAACTATTTTTACTTACATTTTACACTAAAAATAAATGAGAATTTGAAAAATAACACATTTATGACCCAACCGCCAAAATGGGTCTTCCAGATTTTGAAGTACTTTTGGCAATTTACTTTTCACTTTTTATACCACAAATTATATATCTACGTATTCACTATATTACAAGGAATATAAAAAAAGTATAAAACTTTCATTTTTAGTCCAGACACAAATATAAAATTCTATAAAAAAGACGGAGCACCTTCATCAAAACGACACGTGGAACGCCGAAAGTTCAGAGTGATTTCTTTTTTTTTTCTAAGAAACATTGCCAGGTTATGGTTTAAAATAAAAGAGCATATCTTTGTCTTTGATACTATTATCTATTGCATATTGTCTTTGGTTTTGTTTTAAAGGAAAAAAATAGTTTTTTCATAAGGCAGTACTTCTGATCCGACCTGATCTAATTCGACCCGTACCAGAGCCGACGTAAGGTAGGTATTGTATGATCTGATTAGATCGGTAGCCGAGTCAATGGGCTAGAGAATCACCCTAAAATGCTGAAGACAATAGTAAAAAATAGAAAAGAGATATAAAAAGAAATGCTAAGAGCTGGTTATAAATCCATAATCCATAAACACTCACGCCTGTCAACCAAAGGGGTAGGCAGAGACTACAGATTTCCATTTGGCACGATCCTCGCCTCCTTCACATCCATACACCTACGCATACATGCTCGTCGGTTAAGGATACTCCTAATTTGGCCCGTTTCCAATAAATCGCCAATTTGGTCGATAAATTTTCGCCTAGGACGTCCCTTTCCGACTCTGCCATTCACTTCTGCAACATAAATTTTCTTTGTCACTCTTTCCTCATTCATTCTTTCCACATGACCAAACCACTGGTTGTAAACTAAATAAATAAACATTTTTAAGAACAGACCTAGTCGGATATTTCTTTTAATCTGTCATGGCGGTCTAACCCATGAAGTAGATCTCAATAAAAGACCAGAGCGGCAATAAATAACCCATTTACATTATCAAGGCATTATAAGCAACTTGGCCACAAGGAAAACCTATTTCTCAACCAAAGCTAGATGATATAAAATCCCTCCTTTACCTCATTCCATCTAACGCGAGAAAACATTACGAAAATGACCGGATCTCGTGATTTAGGAGATGATGTTGATGGATCAATTGATTTTGTAGTATAAGATGAACAATAAAAAAAATATGGTACAGAGGTAGGTAATGAATAGAAGAAAAAAGTATTAGTAAGGGGTATAAGTATTACAACATATTTTGTTTTAATTAAGTACATTTTATTAAAATAATTGAATTTAATCATATGGTCCAATTTATTTCACCCGAAACAAATTGCAATAAAGTATCAAACAATAATAATGCCGTATAGCACGTTATTGTTAAATAAAATGGTCTGAATATGACTTAAACACTAATAAATTAAGCGGAAAATGGCTATAACCACAAAAATGTATTTTATAGCCTTATTTTTTTTAACTAATGTGAACTTACATACATTTCATATCTTCAGAATAAAAGTTATACACTAAACATATTAAATGTATGTACAGCGACAATTTAACTTTGAATTTTTTGAAGCTCATTTTCTCAGGCTTCGTTAAATGGCGCTTAATCAGTTCTTACATAATGCAGTCCATTTGTTTCGTTATATAATAGTTTATTATGTATCTTCTGTCTTAAGATTTTTATAAATTCTGGTCTTAACTTTTATAGAGTTGGTTTAATTTTTGGAATAAGATTTGATTTAATAAAAAATGTGTTAATAGTAATTATTACTATTACGGCTCAAATAATCATAATATTCCTGCCCACACGAAAAATACGCGCTTAGACGTTGTTTTGCGGAAAATAGCCCGTCGTAAACAAAACAAGTAATTAATAGCTCCGTTTGGCAGAAAAAAGCGCTAGCTAGCGCTTATAAGCAAAATGGCGAAATTATACAGTTTTCGTCCAGGACACGTTTGATAACTTCAGTAGCGCTGACACAATCAATTTTGCTTAATTATTTTGTTTGTTTTGAAGTAGAGTTTATAAGTTGTTTTGTGCAAATTAGTTTAAAGTAATATAAAATGACATGAATAAACATATTATACATGTTATTAAAAATTCATGATTGGTAAGTTTTTAATATAAATACTTTACAAACATATATTTAAATTAGGTTAGGTTCCCCGGTTAAAGCTAACTTAGTGTCCTAGAGGAAAATAGCTATTTACCATTTGACAGCGCTTACCGCTTACGATCGCCATTTTGCTTACAAGCGCTTCTTTGCGCTTTTTCTGCCAAACGCAACCATTATTAAAGGATAACTTACCAGTAGCCGGATTAAACCAAAGCAGTAGCAGTCTGCTCAGTATAGTCGGCGATTCTAAATGTCCAAGGTGTATGAGACGACAAAGACCTTCCACAATAATAAGTCTGTATGCGGCACACTGTTAAAGATATATGCATACAAAGTGTTATAACTCATAAATTTGATTAACAAAAGTGCTTTTTAATTCTAGAATAATTTATAAAACTTACTGTGCTGTCCATCATTTTCAAAAGTATTTCGATAACTGTACTGTGTGTTGGTGATAAGGATATAACAGATTCAGATATGCTACCTGTGAATAAATCATTGCATTATTTTGTGTTATGTTTAGAATTATTTTATATATTACTTTGTCAAGTTGGAGGTATATTATGCTGATGCTGCAGCTATATTAGCTTGTAGCACGAATGAGTCGGCTCGACCGGGCAAGGACCACACTCTCACACAATAGCAGCGGAAAACAGCAGCTTATTGTTGCTAAGTTTCATATGGTGAGTGCAGAGAACCGGAGACCCTTTTTAACGGAAATGAGGCATTCCATCCTAGTCCTCAGGTGTGACAACGCATCTGCATTTTGATTCTTAATCGAGGATAGTTGTACATGTCTATGGACCACAGCATCCACTTACCATCAGGTGGACTGTGTGCTTGTTTGTCACTCTTATTTTATAAAAAATCGATGTTATTGGATTTTCTCTTAACACAGGAATTCATTTATTTTAACTTTATTGAACCTCACATAAGTACAGGATCAAAAGGCGGACTTAAGGCTAAAATCATTCTCTGCCAGTCAACCTTAGGGCATTGATAGAACTACGAAGGTGGTTACAAAAAAATTAAATATTTATGTAATGTACACACACGCATACACACATAATATATGTATATTCGGGAATCATAGTATACATAACTTTTTAAAGCTTTGCTAAGGAACGGCTGTTGTTCAGATACACCCCAGGGTTCATAAAGATGAGTTAATAAAGAAGATGTTGTGAATGCTCTAATACAATGGTTGCGTTTGACAGAAAAAAGCGCTAGCAAGCGCTTACTAGCGCTAAAATAGTTTTCGGCCAGGACACGATTGCTACTTCAGTAGCGCTGACACCACCCGCCATTTTGCTTATTTAATTTGTTTTTTTTTTTTTTTTTTGAAGTAGAGTTTATAAGTTGTTTTTTGCAATATTAGTTTTAAGTAATATGACATGAATAGACATATACATGTTTTTAAAAATTCATGATTGGTAAGTTTTTAATATGAATACTTCACAAACATAATATATTTAAATTAGGTTAGATTTCCCAGTTAAACATAGTGTCCTAGAGGAAAATAGGTACTTACGATTTGACAGCGCTTACCGCTTACGATCGCCATTTTGCTTACAAGCGCTTGCTAGCGCTTTTTTTTGCCAAACGCAGCCTATATGTAGGTTTATTAATAGGTTTTTGTTAAAATAAATCAGGGAAGTCAATCAAACACTGGCTTACAATGGTTAAAAAAAGTATTAAAGATATAGATACCGTCATCTTCAGTAGCATCGATGGAAAGACGCGGATTCCGTTTTTTCTTCTTTTCAATTCGAGAATCCTCTCTCAGCGATTCTGCAGCTTCATCTTCGAACACTGGCGCACCGTGTACGCATAACAAGTCCACTATGCATCGCAGGACTGTTGTCACGACTGGCTCGTTACTTGTATCTATTAACTGAAACAATTGTAGAAAAGAGAATCAAAAATAAAACCCGACTAGACTGAAACTTAATTACTAATAACCGTGAATGAAAACGCAGTCTTTTTTCTCTAAAGCCGCCATGACATTTTTTCATAAAAATAAATTTAAAAAATTACATAATAATATTAAATATAAAAACTAAGAAACATACATTTGCAAAGAAGAAAGCCTTGTTTTCTTTTGCAAATTCTTTATCCAATTGGCCGTAGAGGGCCACCGTTTCCAGTGCATTGATTAGTACATCAGGGTTCTGAAAAATCTCAATCTGAAAAGGATAAAAATGTGGTGTTATGAAAACAAATATTAAATATTTTAAGCAACGTAAATATTTTAAAATATATTATAAATATTGTTTATGTAACCGTGAGTTTGCACTGACGCGATTTTCACAAAAAAAACATGTTTTAAACACCGTTTTCTGTCAATGTATCAAAAAGCGTTTGCACAGTCAAAGATCATGTTGTAGTGAATTGTGTTTGACAGTTTATTGTACATTACATATTTTAACTGTATTATATCTTTATAAATACAGAAACAAAATGTTTGAAAACAAATTTGTACAAATATTGTCATGTTGAAAGATTAGTTTGAATATCTGTTGAAAATTTCAGTTTTTGTGAGTGCGAAAACATGTTGTGTGATTTTTATTTTATGTGATTTGTTTCAAAACATTACGTGTTGGATGTTTCTCAGCGCAAAGGTACTGTAATTAAAACATTCCGACACACGTAAAGTACGCCAACATGCATGAGTGCAGTGTGGTACTGTTTCTGCTTCAAATCCTCTTTACCAATAAGAGGATGCTTGTGCTTTAATAGATTGCATGCAATTTGATAATAGACGGAAAATAAAAACTTCATTGCAAATAGCCATAATAGCATTTGTTCAGCAGTGGACTAGTGATGGGCCGTAATAATAACTATAATAATGATTATGGTGATGGTGATGATGATGACGAAAGAATAATAACAATGAGCTCGGCTCAGCTTCCGCCATCTTGCCTTGTGTATTCTTAGAAAAATTTATAGCAAACAGTGGACCTAGAAATGCTGTTGAAGTTATGTGAGGTTGTTATACTTGTATATGATATTTAATTACCAACGGCAATCATTTTTTTAATAACCTTTGATATAAACGAATTTAAAATGCCATAAGGCAATCCTATTTATTCCAGTTAAGCAGACTGTTAAAGACTTAAAGATTTCAAGCATTAATAAGGACAATATGAGTATAAGATATTGTATAAATTATTGCATTCTAACAATTTACAACATACCTCTAATTCCTTAAAAATAATTTGAAGCATTGGAGTTATAGTTTTTAGCTGGGGTGTATCCAGCGCGGCATTTAATATCGTCAAGCACTTGTTAAGTGTTGCTTCGTCAGATATCTTTTCCTTTGTTGCCTGTAAAACAATTATATAATGAATTACCGTTTATTATTAGTAATAATAATTTGATTAGTGATATTTGCTTAAGGTATTAAAACTAAAAAATAGTAAAAATCACCAAGTTTTAACAAAAATAAAGTGAACTTTCACATGGAAGGTATTAATGTTATCAATAGATCCCTAAAACAGAACGCAGGTTCATCATTAGTTATAATTAAGGTAATGTAGGTCGACAAGGGAAAAATAAATAAATTAAAATAAAACATGTGACAACGTATTTATTCACTTGATTCATTGAAAATAGTTTATACTTTTGGCAAGTGTTTCCTGATGGCAAAAAAATTATACTTACTGAAACAGGTGGTGGTGGTGGTGGTGGTGCCGTTAGTTGAGTATTTAATTCTTCTAGCTTTTTCTGTATATCTTCGACCTAAAACATAAATTCTCATATATATTCTCAATTACATATTAAACCTGCCTGTGCTTTTTTGGTGCAGCCAGTCCCAAGGCCGGATAAAATAAGAGGGTTGGCTAGAACCTGGGGGGGGGGGGGGGGTTATTAACCCAAGACCAAGACTCACTCAAAATTTTTCTAGTGATCCTGGAGGAGCGGCAATTTAGTGGCCGTGAGGCATTAAGGCCCATCTGAAAGACTGATAGTTCCACTGAAGAATGGGTGTGGATTAGCACACCTACCCGCACTAAGACCTGCGAGGTCGAGCGCCGTACGCTGGGATGAAGATGCACTGGAGGGTTGAGCATGTCACAGGGTATGTAGTGGCGAGAGGCAACAACGTTCTCTTTGGTTCGGATTTCAAGCCAAACGGTGGCCCTACCTGCTAGCAACAGATAGCGAAATGGCCAAGCGCTCCGTCAGAGGATCGCAGGTGAGGGACGAGGGAGCTGTCTAGTTTCCCGAAAAGGGCTAGGTGGTGGTAAAGGCCATGCTGACGGAGCAAGTAAGCATTGAGGCAGTGACAATGGGCCTTTACTGCCCTGTCTGCCAGCTGAATCGAGCTCCCAATGTCGCGCTGTGAGCCAACTTCGCGTCTCTAAATTTCCCCGGTAATCCTAACTCCTGAAATTACTTTTAAAGTAGGGTGTTTCCAAAGGTGCGGACTCCATGGAGGGTAGGAAGCCGGGAGGACAAATCAAATAAACTTAACTAATAATGGACGCTTTAAGGCCCAACACACGAGAAAGAGAGGTGTCAAGAGGTACCAGAGGCACCAAAAAATTATTGAGAAGAACATTCTTGGGACATCTCCTAGTGGGGGCAGCATACCTCTATGGTGAGTACGAACCCGTCTAATTTGAATTGATCCAAATGCAGAGTTTTATAGTGCTTTTCAAATATTTATAGAAACATAATAAAACTATATTACTATTAATTTTAAGGGTAAGTGTTAAAAAAGGTGTTCTTCTAACATAGCTATTATTATATTAAATTAAGTAACATAAATTGGTAAAAATATTTGTTTAATCCACAGCATTTTTCTAATACATATATAACCTAAATCAAAATATCATTTCTAGTAACTATTTTCCTTGGTTAAAATCAATACCAATAAAAAATCGTTTCCATTTTTTTTGAACCATTCATGGTGCAGCTATGTGTAGTGCTGCAATGTGGGTCTAACACATAAGAAGTATTCAAATTACATACAAAGATGCTAACTCAGGAATTAGTACAAAATTTTTTAAAATACTGTGGATACGTCCAATAATCAAAAACCATAATTTATACTAAATTCACATTAAACAGCGGTAATAAGTACCTTTGCTTTACATTCTGCAGCTAGAGCATAATTTTGATCTCTGACTGCCTCTTCTTGGGCTTCTTTCGCCTCGTTAAGAGATACACGCAGTTTCACTTTCTGAAACAAATTTATTTCAATTTAACACAATACAATAATCTATCAACATAAGCACTTACTATTTCATCATTCATGAGTGAGATTGTTGTGGGCTTAAGTAAAACAAACTATAAGAATAAGATAAACTATAACAAAAAATAATGCAAAAAAATTATAATTAAAAAATAGACAACAGATATTAAAATAATAAAAGCAATGTTACAGATAGACGTTTAGAGATATTAATATACATTAATGAATCAAATTAAGAGAACCCTTAACCGAAGGGCATGCATATTGTATATGTCGCAGCCAACTATCTTAATTAGTCTTTTCAAACGATTTTTTATCATGTGTTACTAAACAGTAACAAGTGGTAAAATTAAAAATTTTGTTCAATCGACTTCAATATCGATTATTAAGGATAACTCAAAAACCTCAGACCTTGAACAAATTTATATGGGACCACATGAGAAGCACCAGCTTTTAAATAAAAAAGAATCATCATTAAATTAATGTTAATATATTTTACCGAAATTAATTAGTTGGTACGTTATTCATTTTATGTAAGGAACAGAAAATATTTGATTTTACGGTATCTATTAGCACATACCATATACACCTACGATACAGGTTTATCCTAGTTCAAGTACCTGTTATTGCAGACTATTTTAAATTAAGACATGGACTGAATAAATATATAAAAGAAAATGATAAATATACATAAATATATATTATTTTATACTAACATAAATAAATAAATAAAAGCCTAACCAGATGGGAGCCCTCTGCAGGGGAGACCAAACGGCCGAGGGTTAGAGAGAAAGGGAGAGAAACCGGCGGACGATGTGGGTGATATAGAGGAGCACCGCCTTCTGCATTTGGATTATTATATTATTATTGTTGTAATAATTGGGTGCGTTTGGCAGGAAAAAGCGCTAGCAAGCGCTTGTAAGCAAAATGGCGATCGTAAGCGGTAAGCGCTGTCAAATCGTAAGTAGCTATTTTCCTCTAGGACACGAAGTTAGTTTTAACCGGGGAACCTAACCTAATTTAAATATATGTTTGTAAAGTATTCATATTAAAAACTTACCAATCATGAATTTTTAATAACATGTAAGTATATGTTTATTCATGTCATTATATTACTTAAAACTAATATTTCACAAAATAACTTATAAACTCTACTTAAAAACAAACAAATTAAATAAGCAAAATGGTGTATTGAGTCAGCGGTACTGAAGTTAGCAAACGTGTCCTGGCCGAAAACTGTTTAGTTTCGCCATTTTGCTTACAAGCACTCGCTAGCGCTTTTTTCTGTCAAACGCACCCATTGACACGCTCGGCGAGCAGGTTGGCAACCGCAGATTTTTATTGTAATTTTGCTGTCATCACAAAGATGCTGTCCGTCTTTTGTCTTAGTCTCTCAGGTATCATGAGGTAGCGCACATTCTTGCACGCCACTACACGGCTGTTTCGGTCACCTCAAGCGAATTCTTATTGATGTATAAAATTTTAAATTGACAAATGATTTAGAGTTTGTAAGATTGACATTATACTAGACATTATGCATTATGACATGACCATGCCTGTATATTTTTTCTTTCTTTTACTGTTTTATTCAAATTAAGATGAAATAATATTGTAATTTTGTATTTTTCTAATTTTAATTATTAAATTACACGTTGACGTAATATTTGCATACCGATAAAGCGGTAAAACATGCATGTACACACTATGTTACAAGACTTAAAAATGTACCATCTTTTATGCAAATAAATATTTATTATTTATCCAAATTTAAAAAAAACGCTACTTTCTTACATAAAATTTAAAAAGTTTCTGTCCGACGCCGTCCGTGTATTCATGGATACCCTATGCGCCCGAGTGACGTAATAACTGTAAAGATCACAGCCCGCGCTAGCTACCTACACAACATTCCAATAAAAACACAATAGGTACACATAACCAGTGAGGTAACTTTTCCTTCATACTTTCATCCTGGCTTGGACAGACAAAAATTGAGGAATTAAGGAAAAATTGAGATTATACTAAAAAAATGTATATATATATAGTACAGTGGATCTGAATCGTGCTAAATGGGAATCCGTAGTCTGTGCCTACCCCTCTGGGCGACAGGTGTGATGGTTTATGTATTTATGGTCTGACCGGTAAGAATTGATAAAATAGCATAGGGTATTAGGATAAGGTAGCATAGGGTTAATAAACTCATTCCAAATTGTAGAAAAATAATTATTATGGCCACCGCGTCGGTTCTCCCGGCCTCGCGTTTGACAGCTGCAAGACTCGTACCACAAAACTGTGTGCTTGCGCCCGTCATACAGACTGCGATACATATGCGACACGTTTTCATAATATTTACCAACTCCCGCCGAACAGGTTATATGTGTGGAATATTACTGACCTGTAAATTAATTTTTCCACAGTCAACAGTTGGTACGGGCTGAGGTGGTAGTATTTCTGGTTCAGGCGGATCTCGTAGTGCGGATATTACGCCACTTATCACTTCCATTCGAGGTGAAACTTCCGGAACAACCAGTTCTAATGCTGATACAAATGCTCTCAAGACTTCTGGGTTTAGTGGACCATAGTCACCTATAAAAAAATTTGAATACCAAATATTTTATATGACAATATATATAGGTTGACAAACGAGCACACAGTCCACCTGATGGTAAGTGGTTGCTGTGGCCCATAGACATCTACATCTTTTCTCGATTACAAATCAAAATGCAGATGTGTTGTCACCCGTGAATACTAAGGTGGAATGCCTCATTTCCAGTAAAAAGGGTCTCTGGTTCTCTACACTCACAATACGAAATACAGCAACATTAAGCTACTATTTCACGCTGGTATTCTGTGAGAGCGTAGTCCTTCCCCGGTCGAGCCGACCCATACGTGCTACAGCTATAATTCATTTAGTGAAGTGCTGTATGATAATCCATTACTGCATTTCTTCCCGTGGGCGTCAAGAGGCCACTACTGGAAATTCTAGAAAATTCCCCTCTCCGATAGGTAGCAGTATTGTATTGTGAACAATGGCCTTCCTCATAAGTTTCTCAAAAAGAGGCTTGTTACTATAATTGCCCTGCTTGGCAGGCGGCTTGGCAACCGCAGTTATTTATTTTTAATTGTTATTCGGAATAAGCTGCTACCTATCTTCTGGTTTGTTTAACTCTATCACCTCTTACGACTCCCACGGGAAGATATGGGGTAGCAGTATAACCATCATAAATGCACTAGCGTGTGTGTGAACATCACCATGTAGTGACGGAGTAAGAGCATCCCCTAATCAATATTTTCCCGTTGGTGTCGTAAGACGGGGCAGAGGGAAACAAACAGGGTGATGGCTACCCATCCTCTGCTACCAGCATCTTCCTAATAACAACTGTAATTATAGCAAACATTTATAATTTTTATAGATTAAAAGACGTACATTTTTTATTCAATCCATATTGAATGCAAATACTTAATACATTTTTACCACTGTTTGAGAAAACACTTCTGCAACCCATAATGTTGTTATTTCCTTATAATGTTTAATAATTTTATTTCAAATAATTTTATTTCAGACTGTGAGTACATATAATGTTAGTAATTTTGTTAGTGAAAATATTGACTTAAAACTATGTTAGTATTGTAAGTAAATTATGGGGAACACTGAATTCTGCCTTGCATTGAACATTTAATTAATAAGCTCGACACATGCATTAGTGCCGTGTAGTGGCGGTTAAGAATATCCACTACCCCATATCTTCCCGTGGGTGTCGTAAAAGGCGACAGAGGGAAACAGGCAGGAGATGGGCAGCAGCATCTTCCTGATAACAGCAACGGTACGACAAAAAAAACTGCGGTTGCCAACCCGCTCGCCAAGCGTGGCAACTATGGCAATGCCCCCATTAACAATTACACAAATAGACGGCCCCCCAGTCCCCGGCGGCCCCGCTATTCCTGGCTACGGTGGCGACCATGGTAACGGCGGGGCAGGGGGTGCTAAGAATCTCCGGTGGAGGTTCGGTTGCCACCTACGACGACTCGACCTGGCAACATTTAACGCACGCACACTGAGGACTGACGAGAAGATCCTAGAGCTGGAAGAAGAGATAGACAAGTTGCGCTGGAGTATTATAGGATTATCCGAGGTCCGAAGAGAGGGGGAGGACACGGTGATTCTCGAATCCGGCAACTTGTTCTATCACCGGGAGGGCGACCATCTGTCCCAAGGAGGTGTCGGATTTATCGTCCACAAGTCTCTCGTCAACAACGTTGTAAAGATTGGGAGTGTGTCGCCGAGGGTCGCGTACCTGATACTCAGAATCACCAAACGGTATTCGCTGAAGGTCATACAAGTTTACGCACCAACCTCGGCACATTCCGATGAGGAGGTGGAGGAAATGTATGAGGATATTTCCAAAGCCATGCATTCCTCCAAAACCCACTACACGGTGTTGATGGGAGACTTCAACGCAAAACTAGGCACAAGAGAAAGCGGTGAGCTGAAGTTAGGGAAATTTGGAGTAGGGCAACGGTACCGAAGGGGCCAGCAGCTGGCCGACTTTATGGAGAAAGAGGGACTCTTTATGATGAACTCTTTCTTCCAGAAGCGGCCCTACAGGAAGTGGACCTGGTCGAGCCCCGACGGTTCGACAAAAAACGAGATTGACTTCATTATGACGACCAGACGCCAACTGTTCAGTGATGTCTCAGTGATCGCAAGGGTGAAAACTGGCAGCGATCACCGAATGGTTAGAGGCACACTGAACCTAAACGTTAAGTTGGAGAGGTCTCGTCTAATGAAGTCAACGCTCCGTCCCCCTCGTGCTCTAATCCAAAATCCCGAAAACTTTCAGCTCGAGTTACACAACCGCTTTCAGTGCCTACAAGATTGCAATGCAGTGGACGATATGAATGACAAGCTCGTGGAAACTGTCCATGCGGTCGGAGCTAAGTTCTGCAAGACCCGCCGCAGAAGAACACAAAAACTCTCCGATCACACTCTTAATCTCATGGCTGTTAGACGGGAAATGAGGCTGCAATCGTCAACAGATTTGACAGCATACAGGCAACTGAACAGACAGATCTCCAAATGCATGCGGCGAGACTTACGCAACTTTAATACTGCTCGTATCAAAGAAGCGATCGAGCGGAACCAGGGCTCCAAAGTCTTTGCCAGAGATCTGTCTGCCCGTAAGAGCCAACTGTCAAGGCTGAAGACTGAGTGTGGCAGCATCGTTTCCGGGACACCTGAGATTTTGAGTGAGATTGAGAGGTTCTATGGGCAGCTGTACACATCATCGTTGGAGCCACACGCAAGTGTGAGTAACGATCCAAGAGCAAGTCTTATCCGACACTATTCCGATGATATACCGGACGTCAGTCTAAGCGAGATTAGAATGGCTCTCCAGCACCTTAAAAACGGCAGGGCCCCAGGCGAGGATGGAATTACAGCGGAGCTTCTGAAAGCGGGTGGAACACCGGTACTTGAAGTCCTTCAGAAGCTCTTCAATTCCGTCCTCCATGGTGGCACTACTCCGGAGGCGTGGAGCAGAAGTGCGGTGGTCTTGTTCTTTAAGAAAGGCGACAACGCTCTCTTGAAGAACTACAGACCGATTTCCCTTCTGAGCCGCGTCTACGTGCTGTTTTCGAGAGTCATTACGAATCGTCTCGCACAAAGACTCGACGACTTCCAGCCTCCCGAACAAGCCGGTTTCCGAAAAGGCTTCAGTACCATAGACCACATATATACCCTGCGGCAGGTTGTACAGAAGACTGAAGAGTACAATTTGCCACTTTGCCTGGCGTATGTGGACTATGAGAAAGCCTTTGATTCCGTCGAAATTTGGGCGGTGCTGCAGTCCCTTCAGCGGTGCCAAGTTGACTGTCGGTATATCGAAGTGCTGAAGTGTTTGTACAGTAGGGCTACGATGGCTATCCGAGTACAGAACCAGAGCTCGAAACCTATCCAACTGCAGAGATGTGTAAGACAGGGTGACGTTATATCCCCGAAACTCTTCACCGCTGCTTTGGGAGACGTTTTCAAGCTACTGGACTGGAAAGGATACGGTATTAACATCAATGGCGAGTACATCACTCACCTTCGATTTGCCGACGACATAGTCCTTATGGCAGAATCGCTGGAGGACTTAAGCACTATGCTCAATGACCTCAATAGTGCCTCCCAACGGATAGGTCTTAAGATGAACATGGACAAAACAAAGATCATGTTTAATGTCCATGTCACACCTATGCCGGTAGTTGTTGGGAGCACTATGCTCGAAGTTGTTGACGAGTACGTTTACCTGGGACAAATAGTCCGACTAGGTAAGTCCAACTTCAACCGAGAGGTCAATCGACGGATTCAACTCGGCTGGGCAGCGTTCGGGAAATTACGACACATCTTCTCGTCAGGTATACCTCAATCTCTGAAAACTAAAGTGTACAACAACAAGTACAAGTGTGGGGCAAGGGATAGCTGTCCTTCTTCGTAACGTCGTTCAGAAGGCGGATATATATATATATATATATATATATATATATATATTATTAATTTATCAGATAAACCCCCCTTTGTTTGTCCTAACTTTTTTAGTGTCTGATACGATCTTTACGTAATCGTTCTTGTCTGTCCCCCACAACCAGTGCGTGTTGCCAGTGATGACTTACGGATCAGAGACATGGTCCTTCACTGCTGGCCGTATGAGGACGCTCAAGGTCGCTCAGCGAGCTATGGAGAGGGTTATGCTCGGAGTTTCTTTGCGTGATAGACTCAGAAATGAGGATATCCGCAGTAAAACCAGAGTGACCGACATAGCCCAACGGATTAGTAAGCTGAAGTGGCAATGGGCCGGCCATATAGCTCGAAGAACCGATAACCGATGGGGAAGAAAGGTTCTCGAGTGGCAGCCTCGTACCGGTAGGCGTAGTGTAGGGCGACCCCCCACTAGATGGAGTGACGACCTGGTAAGATATGCAGGAAGTCGATGGATGCAGGTGGCTCAGGACCGTGCTTTGTGGCATTACTTGGGGGAGGCCTATGTACAGCAGTGGACTTGTGAAGGGCTGTGATGATGATGATGATGATGCATTAGTGCTCGAACAACACTATAAAATCACATTGATTATTATGGCACAATTTATTTGTATTATAAAACAACATTTGATTTTAGATCAAATGTGTACTTCAAGTAAGCAAGGTGGCGTAAGGCCGAACTTGGTAGGAAAACAAACTAGATTTTATACTAGTATTTTAAAGAACCATGAAAAAAATTTGACAAATGACGTCCACGGGATGATATGAAAAAAAAAAACAGAAACAGAAACTTTTTTATTCAATGTAGATTATGAACAATACTTATTGAGTCGATTTTTTCATTTACCACTGGTTCGCAATAAAAAACCTCTGTCCTGGGAAGAACCAGCAAGAAACCCAGTGGGACTTTTTTTTCAAATAATAGCTTACAATCATGTTTATAATTAATAACACAAGACAAATTAGAAATAGCTTGGTAGCCATCACCCTTCCAAGGGGTTATTATCATCCATAAATTCCTTAATATTATAATAGCCCTAGTTTAATAAAATTTTTGAACTTTGCGTATGACATATTTTGTATATTTTCTGGGATTTCGTTGTAAAAGCGTATACATCGCCCCAAGAATGAATTACTGACTCGGTGGAGTCGAGTATGGGATAGTGAATATTCTAAAAATGCCAATACAAGGTTACATCACAATCTCAATGTCGTGTAAATAGATACATTAAAAACTTCACTCCTATTTTGTTACCCTTAGAGGTTATTAGGGGTCGAATTTTTTCTCCAAATTTATATGGGACCACTAAAATTTAACTAACCAACATTTTATTATAGATTTATTGTGTTTGTTTTTAATTATCTTTAAACACCGACGATTACTTAAAAAGACAAGTAGGTTCAAACATGTGTACAATGAATTTTAACACCAACTTGTTCTGTTTGTTACTGATTTTCAAGGCATTAAAACATATATGTACCTGTAAGAACATCAGTAATGAGGGCCTGCAGTGCACTTCTGCCAGTCGGATCTGAGGCATCATAAACCCGTATCATTGAACCCAACTCTTGCAAAACATACTGACGCGTGCTAAATCCCACTGGATCTTCTGCTTCAGATGGACAAGGCGATTCTACAATACTGGAGGATTAAAAAAAATGACAGGTGAGTTATGAAAACGGACACAGTTGGCTTTCTACCTGAGGATTTTCTATCTCCATATACTCCAAATTTTGATCTAATTTTTTTATATTATTATTCAGCATTGGTTGGTTTGGCAACAAACGAGCACACAGTCCTCCTGATGGTAAGTGGATGCTGTGGCCCATAGACATCCATATTTATTTTCAATTAAGAATCAAAATGTAAAGAGGACCTGAGGACTAAGACGGAAAGCCTCGATTCCAGTAAAAATGGTCTATGGTACTCAACACTCACCATACGTAACAGTAGCATTACGCTACTATTTTACGCTGATATTCTGTTAGAGTCCCCAGTCAAGCTGAGCCGACCCATTTGTGCTACAACTATAATATAGCTGCAGCATGGCTCTACCATATATATATATATATATATATATATATATATATATATATATATATATATATATATATATATATAATTGACAGGTAAGAGTGAGACTAAATGGAGCGCTTGCTTCATCTTTTCCACATTTGCAGACATTTAATACACAAAATCACACCCCATTTACACATGAATATATCAATTAAACCATTACATAATAATTAAGGCACTAAAAAATCTACTATCATCATCACAGCCTTTCACAAGTCCATAACTGCACATATGCCTCCCTCAAAGAATACCACAAAACATGGTCCGCAGCAGCCACTTAGAATATCTACAAGCTATGAGGAACTCCATGTTAGTGCTCAAGGGCGAAAACACATAAAAAAATTCATTTAAAAAATGCTTCCGAAGAAGAAAGAAGCTGCTGACGCACCAACCAGTTGCTAACCTAATGATCCTAAGAATTCCGCTGAAGCAGAGTTAGATCATTAATTAAGCATACCAAGGGTCGCAAGAGATGCAAATCCATATAAATGGTGGGTTTCTAAAGGCTATTATTACCCCATCTTGGGAAAAGTTGCGGCTCAATACTTATCAACACCCGCCAGTTCAGTTTACAGTGAACGGCTTTTTTCAAAAGCGGGCTTAGTATATGAGCAATAAGGAACAAACTAGACCAAAATAGGGCCGAAAAACTAGTGTTTTTGCATCACAATCTTCCTGTCTTAAATTTTAAATATTAGTAATGTCATTTCTATTATAGATTCTTATGTACGTTCTCAACATTTCTGCCGTTTCTCATGTTCCTGTTGTTTGAATGTGTCTAATATAATAATTATGATAAAAACTGGCTTTTGTCTTTATTTTTCGCTGGAATATAATTAAGGCCGAGTACTCGGTACTCAACCGTTAATACTCGGTGTTTGGCCGAACCCTAAAACAAGGCCGAATCCGCCGATTACCGAATCAAAACTGAGTACTCGTCCCATGTCTAGTTTATTTTTCTAATAAATCTAATCCAATAACTTTTAAGACCTAACTTGTACCGTGTAGTAATGGTTATATTATAATGACTAAAAATAAAAAACTGCAGTAGCCAACCCGCTTTCCAAGCGTGGCAACTATGGCAAATATCCCCCCTATGAGGTAATCTATGGGGGAGGCTTATCTTCACCAGTGGACTTTAATAGGCTGTAACTACAATAAATTTTAAAGGATGTTGAGTGTGAATTACAGCCATAGCTCCATTTTTTTTTTAAATAAATTATGTAATTAATGGGAATCAATACGACTATTCGATACATAAATTGCACAATGACAAATACTAGATATTTATCTAAGACAATTATTTGTAGGCTATTTAAAAACTTGTTCCATGAGGGTTTCGAACCCTTGGCTCGGTAGATTTTTTATTGACTGTAATATGCTTTCGTCATCAAATAACAAACATTTTGGTCTTTAGTGGGTCTTACTTCCGCGTCTCTATATCAGACTGCATGGTTATAGCGCGAATACGAAACCAATAACTTTTAAAAAGCAACAACAGCTTATGTACTTACGCTCTAATATATCCAATGAGGACTACTAAATCGGGTACAACTGTTTCTAATGTTTCATCGTCGTCAACATTCTGCAAATGTTCCGCTAAATGGCGCCAGTACCAAGCCGTCTCCTTGTTTAATTTTTCAGCAGGAACCAGTCGCAAATTTTTGTCAGTTGGCAGCCATTCTAAAAGCTCAGAGACTGGGAGACGTCTAAAATGACAAAAGGATTTTTAGTTTTTAGTTATCATATATGATAATTAATAAGATCCGTAAGTTTTTCAGTGAGACTAGAGCAGATCGTATATAAAAACAGAATATTTAAAATTAATATTACAAAATAACGGTTATTAAAAAGCTAACCCTATTCATTTACACAGTAAAGAGGTGAAGGTTATAATTTAAAAAAAATTTTAGTGGATGGGTGCCGTGTAGTACCGGCGTAGGAGAATCCATCAACCTATTTAGTCCTGTGGGTGTCGTGAGAAGCGACAGTGGGAAATAAAACAGAAGATGGGTACATCATCTTAACAAATGATTTTTTTAATATAGAATAAGGGAGACAAAACAGCACATAGTCCTTGAGTCCAGACGGTAAATGGATGCTGTGGCCCATAGACATCTACATTTGTCCTCGATTAAGAATCAAAACACAAGTGCGTTGTCACCCCTGAGGGCTAAGATGGAATGCAATGCTCCCAGTAAAAGGGTCTCCGGATCTCTACACTCACCATATGAAACACAGTAGTATTAAGCTGTATTCTGTGAGAGCGTGGTCCTTCACCGATCAAGCCGACCAATTTGTGCAACAACCATAATATAGCTGCAACGTAGCTCTATCACATATGATATAATAAAAACCGTGACTGCCAAGCCGCCTTACTTAAAAAATAAGACAAATGGTGAAGGGTTATATTTAGCAGTGGAACTTAAAATCATGAGACGGCTCCCTAGCGCAGTGGCATAGAAAGGATTTGAATCCCGAAAGGAACAAGTATTTATATGGGCTACAAATAATTGTTCCGAGCCTGGATCAATCAAAAATAAAAATATATTTTTTTATAGAATAGGGTGACAAACGAGCACACAGTCCACCTGATGGTAATTGCTGCGGTCTATAGTCATCTACATCTATCCTCCATTACAAATCAAAATGCAGATGGGTTGTCACCCAGTGAGGACTGAGATGGAATGCCTCCTTTCCAATAAAAAGGGTCTCCGGTTCTCTACACTCACCATACGAAATTCAGCAGCATTAAGCTACTATTTCACGCTAGTTTTCTGTGAGAGCGTGGTCCTTCCCCGGTCGAGCCGACCCATTTGTGCTACAACTATACTACTAATATAACTGCAACATGGCTCTACCACGTAAAAATCCAAAAGAAATCAAAAATAAAGAACTAAAATCAATGAAAGATTATTATCATCACAACAATCACATGAATACTGATGTGACTTCCACCTGGAATTAAATTGCTTTTGAAGGATTTTAAGAAGTTATTTTCTATTCTCATTCAGAAGTTCTACTATAACTCCATTCCCACCTACCATATTTAAGAGGAATATAAACTTAAATCACTTATTTTCAGAAGTATGTAGTGTGATAAAAAGAGCATTTACTTGAACAGAGACTCCAGCAGTTTGCCAGCAACATATTGGGAGTCTTTAGCGTCTTGCGCGTTGTCCAAACGGATTGCTTTCAACAATTTTACAATGTTCCCCTGAAATGTGCTTAACCAGCCAGGGATTAGAATCTCTTCTACAACACGGCGTACTCGAAAGCTGCGCTCGGTTAAACCAATCTATAAATAAAAGATAAAAGTTTAAGTTACAGCCTATATAGATCCCACTGCTGGGCACAGGCCTCCTCTCATTTATGAAAGGGTTTTAGGGCAAAGAAGTATCCGCCGCGCTGCCCCAATGCGTATTTGCGAACTTTACATGTCTTCGAAATAAAAAAACATTCTAATGATTTCTTATATTTACGCGAACACTACATTACTACATTTAAAAATTCCATTTAAATAAAACTTATTTTCACGGTTTTTTATGGCGTATATTAACTTATTTAATATTCCCAAAAAATTATGTCTATCGTGGCCAATTTTGTAAATCTAAAATCTATTTATTACTATCTATGACAACATTAACCAAACACGACTATATTAATTCTTTCTTTATCAATAACATATAGCTGATTTGAAGAATCGACGCTCTGTGAAGTCTACAGTCTGTGAACACGTACAGGATCGCCCCCGTCACTACATCAGATTTGAAAGACCACAAAGCCTCGGTAAAGAATATTGATTCCTCCCAGGGATGAAATCAACAAACATCCTAATTTCAATAGAGACGATGGCTGGGTGCTACCATCTGCTTGGGATTCTAAAATTAATAAAATTAAATCCCAACCAAAGCATACAACTGCAAGACTTCAAGATACTATAAGTTTATACTGCGTAGATTGGAACAAAAATTAATAATTTCAATCTAGAGGTAGCCGTGGTAACTATGACATGGGTGCTGTTAAGTACTCGAAACGTCGGGAATATAAAATAAGTTAATATACGCAATAAAATCCGTAAAAACTAGTTTTATTTAAAAATATATATATATATTCTCAGATATGCAGGTTTCCTCGCGATGTTTTCCTTTACTGCCAAGCACGTGGTAAATCAGCACGTAAAATTGCAATTAACAATTTCATCGGTGCCGACGGGGATCGAACCCTGGTTGCTCACGTGCTGTGAAATTTACAGTAAATCATCATTATTATCATCATCATTACAGCCCTTCACAAGTCCACTGCTGAACATAGGCCTCCCCCAAGGTATGCCACAAAGCACGGTCCTGAGCCACGTGCATCCATCGACTTCCTGCATGTCTTACCAGGTCGTCACTCCATCTGGTGGAGGCCGCCCTACACCTCGCCTACCGGTACGAGGCTGCCACTCGAGAACCTTTTTTCCCCAACGGTTGTCGGTTCTTCGAGCTAAATGGCCAGCCCATTGCCATTTCAGCTTAATAATCCGTTGGGCTATGTCGGTCACTCTGGTTATACTGCGGATATCCTTATTTCTAAGTTTATCACGCAGAGAAACTCCGAGCATAGCTCGCTGAGCGACTTTGAGCGTCCTCATACGGCCAGCAGTGAAGGACCACGTGAAACAGTAAACAGATGATATAAAATGGTGGTTTTCAAAAGATGATAGAATAACAATCTCTTAACTTGATACACTAAATTATTCGAATGCTGACAGGGGACAATGTTGAAAGTTCTAAGGATTTTGCTTAGTATTGTGATGACCAATCTACCTGCTGAAAAAGAATGTCAATTTAAGATAAACTTCGAAACTGAAAAGAGATGGAGATGACATACATTTTACATGACAGAAAGGGGAGGAGGTATGTCCCTTTTGCTTCCTCCACAAAGTCCACACAGTCCCCCATAGATTGCCTCATAGAGGGCATATTTCTGATAGTTGCCACACTTAGCAGGCAGTTTGAGGGTAACTACAGTTTTTATTATTTTGTAATGTTATCACTAAGATACTGCTGCCAATCTTCCCAGTTTCCCTCAGTAGCCTGTTTACCAGTTGCATAGTTGTAGTGATCTATGATATTGATAAAGCCCTCATGCCCTCCAAATTGACCATCTTATATATGCTAGTTGTTAAATACACATACCAGCAACAGGGGGCAGCGTCAAAATGGCTTACTAGAAGCTGGTTCTTATGAACTCGATTATTCTATCACTACACTAAATTTTTATTGCAGTTACGTTAAAATTGGCGGTGTGGTCTTTTGGGACAGTAATGTCCTCCAGACCGAATTTCGCTCACGGCGGTCTGCCTTAACGGACACTAGCCATCGGCAAAGAACAGGATTATAGTGCACAAGTGTATGCGCAAGCACAGGTGCACTTTCTATTCCCTCACTCTCATAATCCGATGGGACGGTAAATTGACACGACCGAAGAGAGAACAGGCGCGGGACCAACGGCTTTACAAGCTTTCCAAGGCACGGGGGTGAGACACCGTAATGACTCCAGGCTGACTACAATTACTGAGAATTTCTTGACGGAAAAACTCAATAATCGATTTTTTTTGGCCCGACCCGGGATTCGAACCCAGGACCTCATGATCAGCAGCCGCACTACTACAACCACTAGACCAACGAGGCAGAGACACAGGGACAGTATTTGCTTTAAAAGAAGTTGAGTTCTAGTTCATTTAACACTTACCTTCAGAGTCAGTACTCTATGTCTCACTTTTAGTTGCGTAACATTTAAAGCGGCGATATATAGAAAGGCCGCACGCCGCACCGCTTCGTCTACGTCACATAGACGCTCCAGGACAAAGGGCGCGTTTCTTGTACACTTTGCTATTGACATAACAACCGCCCTGTAAATATAACAAATTTCTATGTGTATCCACTATCATAAGTGTAGGTATTTATTGGGCGGCAAAGCTTAAAGTGGCATAGTACCCTCATGTACCTTAATAGAATCCACAAAATTAGTGATTCAATTATGGGATTCCATATAGAATATACATTGGCATAATTTTTTTAAAATAAAGGTGATATACGAGCATACAGTCCACCTGATTGTAAGTGGCTACTGTGACCCATAGACATTTTCATCTATCGTCGATTAAGAATCAAAATGCAAATGCGTTGTCACCCCTGGGGATTAAGATGGAATGCCTCATTTATAGTAAAAAGGGTCTTCTGTTATCCACCCTCATATCCTGCCTTTATACCGCCATCTTTTGGAAGCCATAACATTTTCTGAAACTTCGAATAGTTGCTTCTTGCAACACCTTCAGGGCCCTGTGTTAGTACACTGAATACTTTTCATCTTTATCTTAATATATATAAATTACGTGTCACGTCGTTTGTCCGCGATGGACTCCTAAACTACTTAACCGATTTTAATCAAATTTGCACACCATGTGCAGTTTGGTCCAACTTAAGAGATATGATAGTTTTTTTTTTCCCATAAGTGACCCACAATTTTTTTTTGCTAATTTAAGGATTTTTAATAGGGTATGACAAAGGGTCGTCAAAAAGGGTAGAACAACGTCTGCCTGGAAAGCTAGTATAGTATAAAACAAAGTCGCTTCCCGCCGTCTGTACGCTTAGATCTTTTAAACCACGCAACGGATTTTGATGCGGTTTTCATCGATAAACAGAATGATTCAAGAGGAAGGTTTATATGTATAATACGTGCATATTACCTAGTAGATAATTTTGTGTATGTGACTGAACTCCTCCTAAACCCCTGGACCGATTTTGATGAAATTTTGTGGATGATTTTAAGTTGATTCGATAATGGTTTAGATTCACAATTGAGCCCGATAGGTGGCGCTGTTACAGAGATCAAGAAATCCAGATGTGGAGAATCATGCACCTTCTCTGTTGGACCTCTAACTGACCTCTCACGCGGACGGATATCAGATTTCCGTCGACGCCCCTTTAGGCTCCTCGGATCATTGTCTTGTCCGGAGTGTGTTGCCACTCACGCTGAAATCGCAGTTGTAATTCTGCAGGCTGCCGCCGTGTTTGGCACTATAGGTCAGCCAATGCCGTTTCCGGATTCTGTCGCTGATGTGGTACTTCAGGGTATGGAACTTTTTATTCCTTCCTCTGTGGTGCCCACTGTCCACTGGAGGCAAATCTCAGCCATGGTTTGGTCGCTCCTGTAAAATAGCATCATGCTGTAAGCAGGAGTGCTACCAAGCCTGGGCTGACGCATCAACGTCCCGGCATGTAAACAACAGCGCTCTAAAAAAGAAGTATAATTCCGCCTCTAGGTCCTTCAAAAGAGTGAGAATTGGCAATAAACTAGTTCGCCTTCCTTCTGGAACCCGTGCATTTTGGTCTCTCGCCAAGGCTGTCCAGGGGAATTTCTGTCAGCCATCTCTTCTATCTCTGCGCACAGGGAGGACGACTCACTGGCCTATACCGCAAAGAAGAAAGCCGATCTGCTTGGCTCTTTCTTTGCGTCCAACTAACTCTCGATGACGTGCTCCATGCCGGAAGTGCAGTTCACACAGCGCTCGGTTCGCAAAGCACTCCTCTCAACAAGTCGAGTGGGCCTGACGGAATCCCCCCAATTGTGCGGAGGACGTGTTGCTCCAGAGTTGGCACCGGTTTTAACGCGTCTTTTCCGGTACTCCTACTCCCTAGGCATAGTCCCAAAATCATGGAAGACGGCTTTCGTCCTCCCGATCCCTAAAAAAGGCGACCGCTCAGATCCGTCCAACTACCGGCCTATCGCCGTCACCTCCTTGTTCTCCGCAAACAATGGAGTCTATTAACTGCCAGCTCATGAGGTACCTTGAGGATCACCAGCTGATTAGTGATCACCAATACGGTTTTCGCCGTGGTCGGTCAGCTGTTGATCTTCTGGTCTACTTAACTCACAGATGGGCGGAGGCAGTAGAGTCCAAGGGGGAGGCATTGGCCGTTAGTTTGGACATTGCGAAGGCCTTCGATCGGGTTTGGCACAAAGCGCTTTCGAAGCTCCCTTCCTATGGGCTTCCCAAGAAATTGTGCGATTGGATCACCAGCTTTCTTGCAGATTGGAGCATCAAGGTCGTTGTAGACGGTGCAAGCTCCGATTACAAGCTTATTAATGCTGGTGTTCCACGAGGCTGCGTGCTATCGCCAACGCTATTTCTTCTGCATATCATATATATATATATATGATATGTTGTAAGCCCGTAACATTCATTGCTATGCAGATGACAGCACTGGTGATGCTCTTTACACCGGCCGAACCAATATTTCTCGGGAAAACGTCTCCGAGTACCGGGAAAAACTTGTGTCTGAAGTCGAGTCTTTGCTGAACAGAGTCTCGGATTGGGGGCGATAAAATCTAGTCCAGTTTAACACCCAGAAAACACAAGTTTGCGCGTTAACCGCTAAAAAGTTTGTCGTATTTTGTTTGTCGTTTGTCGCCCCTTTGTCGTATCTCCTCAGTTTGAAGCCACTCCCTTGTTGCCTCAGCCAGTATCGGAATCCTCGGCGTCGACATATCGAGTGACGTACAGTTTCGTGGTCACTTGGAAGAGAAGGCCAAATTGGTCTCTAAAAAACTTGGCGTGCTCAGCAGAGCGCGACAGTATTTCATGCCGGCACACCGCCTGCAACTTTACAAGGCGCAGGTTCGGCCGCACATGGAATACTGTTCCCATCTCTGGGCTGGGCGGCTCGAATCGTCGACGACCGAGTGCTTTCCGATCGGCTCGATTCACTGGCGCTGCGAAAAGATGCTGCATCTCTTTGCATTTTCTTTCGCATATACCATGGGGAGTGCTCTGAGGAATTGTTACTTACACTTTACATATAGGGGGGCTACCCTAATAAAAAAAAATTCCAATTTTTATTTTACCACTTTGTCGGCGTGTTGATACACATATTGGGACCAAATTTCAGCTTTCTAGTGCTAACGGTCACAGAGATTAAGCGAGGACGGACAGGGACAGACATGGCGAAACTATAAGGGTTCCTAGTTGACTACGGAACCCTAAAAAGTGAAGGGCACTGCAATACATTGTTGCGCGCCTAAGTTGATGTCTGGTACCTGGCATTAGCGCCATCTAGTGTCGGGGAACAGAGCGAGGAGAGCTTTCTATAAAATGCCATGACTGAACGTTCAACCAACAGCGCCATCTAGTATCGAATAGAAGAACTAAGCTTTCTGGAAAGCTCCACACTCGAACTTTCTGCACCTGGTCGATCGGGAGCCGGTATTTGCTGGAATATTCTGGAGGTATCGGTGAAAAAGGCGTATATAAAGGCATTGAAGCCCGCCACCGGGGCAGTATTGAATTTGGCGATACAAGCGAAGCTTCGGAGCGAAATAAAGTGAATCAGTGTGATTAATTATCAGTGTATTTTAAGTTTTAATTGGTGTTCGGTAATTAAAGTGTTAAGGTAATTCAATCGGCAGTTTTTACTGTCACGAACCCTAAGCTCGTAACAATATTATGATTGCAACAAAACAGGGTCGACAAGACCTTGCTCACACAGAATACCAGTGTAAAATGGAAGCATAATTCTGGTGTATTTTGTTTTGTATTCATGTTAATACTTAATCGAGGGTAGACGCAGATATATGGTTAAAACACGATGTATGGATTAACTTCAAAAAACAACACAAATAAAGCCAAAGAGAATTTATCGTAAGAACAATATCCCAATTCTAATTACAATATTTAATAAGACTTTCTACTGCTTTTATGTATGTAGTAAAGCATTTGGAATCCAGTACATAAAAATATTTTACGAGATTTACTTATAAACTGATAACAAAATTAAAATGAGCTGACCTTCTTACAGAGGAACTGGGGTCGCAACTCATATGAAAGTGATATGCTCTGGTAACTTCATCCTCTGGATCCATAGGATTCTGTAAACGCTGTAATGCTAGAGCCGCGCGGCAACGCACTGCACCGCGGGTGTCTTGTAAACGTTGCATCTGTTTGTGGGAGTAAAAATATTATTAATGTACGTTAAGGTTACTTAGGTTAATGTAGGTTCACTGCTGGCCATATGGGGACGCTCAAAATCGCTCAGCGAACTATGGAGAGGGCTATGCTCGGAGTTTATCTGCGTAATAAACTTAGAAATGGGGATATCCGCAGTAGAACCAGAGTGACCAACATAGCCCAACGGATTAGTAAGCTGAAGTGGCAATGGGCCGGCCATATAGCTTGAAGAACCGACAACCGTTTTGGAAAAAAGGTTCTCGAGTGGCAGCCTCGTACCGGTAGGCGAAGTGTAGGGCGACCCCCCACCAGATGGAGTGACGACCTGGTAAGACATGCAGGAAGTCGATGGATGCAGGTGGCTCAGGACCGTGCTTTGTGGCATACCTTAGGGGAGGCTTATGTTCAGCAGCGGACTTGTGAAGGGCTGTAATGATGATGATGATGATGATGATGTTAAGGTTATGATAGTTCTAAATTAAGGCATGTGCGAATAACCAGGTTTGTTTTATTCCAGCACATTAAAGCAAACTGAAAAAAAAATTGTTAAAAACCTGTTCAAGCCATGGTGGTGCTTTTAGGTATCTATAATTTGGTTCTGTTCTTGTAAACCTTTTCAAATAAATAAAAAAATAACCCACTAATAACAGAAAAACATTTGATTTGCACAATAAAATATTGTTATAGTTCTTGCAATTTATGAGTGCAGTCGACCTTTGTATGTGGTTTGACATGTTGTATATACACAGTGTGACGGTGTGTGTCCTGGCGGAGCGGGCGCCCGTTCACGACTGGCCGTTCCGCACAAGCACACACACTGTCACACTGTGCACGTACATGTCGAACCACAACCAAAGGTAGATCGCACTGGTTACATATATACAGGGCTGAATTTTCAATCGTCAAACTAATCTGGCGAATAAATGTGACTGACTGATTTAGATAGAAATTAAATCCTTCTTTTGTGTTGAAAGTATTACTGGGATGGTGATCTCAGATCCCATATTATTAATGTAAAATAATAATGGTTAGTTGAGTAAAAATGAAATAAACTGTTATAAAAATCAATACTTTTTTATTATTAATTTTTCTACACATAATTCATCACAAATAGTAAGTTATACAAGCAAGTTGTATATCATATTTTATTTATTCATTCGGATTTTAAATGAAAAATATTATCAAATTTCGAAAAATTCGAAACTCTGGCATGATCACTAAATATGATATGCAGGATAACATCCTGGATATCATATTTCATCCACCGTTTCATGATCATGATAAATTTTTATATAAACTATTATTATTATTTGTTCATATCTGAACAAAATTATTTTTTAATATAATTTCTATAAGACACTTTGAACATCTCAGTCCTGCCCGTGACCATGAGTGCTGTAAAGCGTTCGAAACGTCGGGTATTTAAAAAGTTAAATATACGCGATAAATTCCGTAAAAACTAGTATTATTTCAATGTGTAGTGTTCGCGTAAATATAAGAAATCATTATTCTATAAGACAGTTTGTCACTGCTTCTTCTTGCATGGTATCTGAACCTTTTTCTGCCACAAATCCTGGAATATATTCTAATACAGCAATTGATAAGGTTTTTTAATAATTTAAATAACGACTCTAATAGAGGCATACTGAAGACCGCTTCTGAAAGTTTTTGTTTTTTCTCCCCCAACTAGTAGCGACAAACATACATATACTGTGATTTTTAATAATTACAAAACTTCTTAGCAGTTTTTTATTGGCTAAATAAATTACAAAATTATGCATCTTACATAAAGTAATAACTAAAAAATACATCCCTACCATAACACTTGAAATAAACTGTAAGACACTTATTTGACATAATAAAATATAAATAGAAGAAACACCTACTATAAGATAAGATGAAGGCACTGCACTAGATAACAAAAAAAATTTTAGCATTCAACAGTTTGAAGCAGATCTACCACAAAACTCAGCGCTTAACATGGCGACGCAGTCACGCAAGGATGAGCTAATGACGTCACACGAAAGTGTTGTCAAAATAAGTCCCTTTTCTAATGTCATTCATTAGAAAAGGGAGACAAACTGTTGTTGTCTCCCTTTTCTAATGAAGCTACTGCTTTGTTAAAAAGAAACAAAAGTATTTTTGACAAGCGTGTGTCGATATTATAAATATTCGTATAACTATTATTTCTATAGTAGAATACGCCGCCTCCATAGGTATTATATCTTTATGATTTAACCCTTCGAGGACTAGGAGGGGTCAATATTGCCCTGCTCGTTTTAAATCGTTGACAGCTTATTTTGTGCTGTTGCCATGTTGTTGATTGTCTCAGTAGCTTTCGTGTACACACCCCTCTCTCCGCTGCGTACCTGTTCTCAGTCGACCAGCGCCTGAGCAAGGAGATAGACGGTCGCAAAGTTGAATAGGGTAAATATGACCCTACGTAATACGCGACGTAATACTTTTGTGCCACTTTTGATTTGTAATTTTTTTTCGTAATTGTTTTATTTCGAGCTTCGAACTAATGTCACTTCTACTGCAAGAGCATAAACCGACATCTGTAGGTATAGTTTGAAAGAACAAAAGACAATTACCACCGGAATTTTGCAAAACCCGTGGTGCAGAGGTACATACTTCTAAATTTGGATTTCAAAAAGAAATCACCCTAGTATCGTACATACCAAAGAAAAATAATGTAGTGTTACTCATGTCTAGCCTTCAACCATACTGCTACAATTGATTAAACGACCGAGGAACAAAAAAAATCCGAGGTAAATACCTTTTATAACTCCACTAAAGGTGGAGTAGATGTTGCAGACGAGTTATCCGCAAAATACGACGTAAGCCGAAATTCCAAAAGGTGGCCTCTGAATGTATTCTTTGGGATACTAAATATGTCTGGAATAAACTCACATATTGTTCATAAATTCAACACCGGTATTACCACGAAACGACGCAATTTTATCACATCACTAGGTCTTACGTTTGTCGGAGAGCACGTAAGCATGAGAAAAAACATACGTCAGTTACAGATCCAACTACGAAAAGAATCCGTGAATTTAGTGGTGAACCTGCAAAAGAACCTTCACACAAGGTACCTGTAGTACGAAAAAGGTGCCAAGTGTGCCCTTACGCAAAACATCGGAAGAAAAACCACGTCTGTGAAAATTCATTTCACAATTCTCAAATACATATGTCCGGAGCACTCCATTATTTACTGCCAAGATTGTAGCTCAGCGAGTGGGTATTAATTGATTTATATAAATTCGTAATAATTTTTTTGTGATTAGAAGTAATTGATCTCTTATAGTCTTTACATAGATTTCAATTACAAAAAGAAAAAATTGTTTTTGTTGATTTTCTGTAATGTATATGTAAAAGTTTTGTTAACATTGATTATTTTTGGCATTTTTTAAAAATAAACGTAACTTTAACAATAATAAAGTATTTTATATTTTTGTTCCATAAAAATAATAAGTATATATCCAAGTAACAGATTATTTACAAAATTATAATAAAAACATAAAACAACTGCACAAAAATGGATATTTTAGTACAGGATCAAAATGACCCTCCTCATCCTTGACGTACACTTTTTGTACCACATCCTCGCCGGGTTAGTCAATTAAATACGCATTATTAAGGATAACTCAAAAACTAGTGGTCAGATCTTGATTAAATTTGGGACCACACGAGAAGCACCAGCTTTCAAACAAAAAAATAATCATCAAAATCGGTTCAGCCACTGGTGGCTTTTGGTTTTTGATGCGATGGCCAACATATTTTTAAATGGAGAAGAACTGAGCCCTGTTGAATCCTCTGTTTTTTTGGCATCAGCTTCAGTTGGGCCCCATATATCCAAACTAGCAAGCAGACTAAGTAAGCTTAACTTACAGCATAAGCTGTAAAAAAGATTAAGAAGTCTCACTATTGTCAGCTGCAGCAGACAGCTAGATTAGTTTATTTAAGCTATTTCCATAGCATGGGCTCATTTGGGACTAAACATAAACGGAACACGACTGAGTCATCTAAGATTTGCAGACAATCAAGTTATAATGGAAGAGGACCCACTTAAACTAAAGTCCATGATACAAGCCCTAGTAGGTCTAGAAATTAACATAAACAAGACTAAAATGATGACCAACTCAATACCCATAGACATAACCATCAACGGTCAGAAACTTGAATATGTAGAGGAATATGTGTACCTAGGCCAGATAATATCGCCAAATGACCAAATGTCCAAAGAAATAGACAAAAGAATTGCGACTGGGTGGAAGAAGTATTGGGCCTTGAAAGAAATCATGAAAAGCAAGGAACTGGGTATGAAGATCAAGAAAAAGATTTTTGATACCTGCATCCTACCCTGCATTACATATGGCTGCGAAACGTGGGCTTTAACAAAACACCAAAGGGACAAACTAGTAAGATGTCAGAGAAGCATAGAAAGAAGCATGTTAGGATTGAAACTAATGGACAAAGTGAGTAGTATAGACATTAGGCGCAAAACGAAATTAACAGATATACTGTCACGTACTGATCAACTTAAATGGAGATGGACTGGAGATACGCTTCGCTGCAAAAAGGAAAAGTGGAGCAAACAGGTGACAGTTTGGTACCCAAGGGACAGCACTAGGAGCGGAGGTCGTAAAGCAAGAAGATGGGAGGATGATTTCAAATTGACCTTAGGACCCCTATGGATAAGAGTTGCGGCAGACAGAAAACAGAGGAAAGAGTTGGAGGAGGCCTTTGTCAAAAGACACACCGAAATAAGAGACATTTTGTAATATAAGTGTAGTTTTAGTTTATATAATGCTGTACTTTCTTTTTAAATTCTTTTTTTAGTTTAGTTAAACTTAAGGCTTTATTATTAATATTATTATTATTTCCATAGCATAACGTCTTATGGGATTTTACTATGGGGAAATGCGGCTAATTTAGAAACTACTTTTGCTTTGCAGAAGAGTGCCATAAGAGCTATTTACAACAT